TACTGCTACTAGTTCTACTACTACTAGCTGGTGAGGCCATGGTCACATGGGGCGCCTTTTGAAATGGTGGGTGGTCCATTACGTAGTCATGCACGCAATGGTTCTGCCTGTCTCCGTCGGGCCCTGGCCCAAGTTTTCAAGTGAACACTCGGTAGATCATAGCCTGACACAGAGAGCCACGTCTGTGCGTGGTGAGTTCAGCCAGCTCCGAAGTTCGGGACCATACCATTTCAGCACTAGCTGGCTCAATGAGCCATTCCAGAATCCTCCGTAAGCCTTGCGCTTGAAAGCGTTGACTCTTTGCTACATGGCTTATGTCACTCGTAGTGTTTCTAGCCGGCATGACAACTACTACCAACAATAATGCTGCCACTTGTTGCTGCAACGACTACGGCCACTAACACTGCCACCCCAACTGACCCTTCAAAGCAACGCCCCAACACCTTGAGTCCTAAAAACCCCACAGCCACAGACAGCCCTCAGCGCAGCCCTCAGAGCAGCCTTTCAGCAGCTCCAGCGCGAGCGTCGTCGCCAGGGCAAGGTGCATCGCCCTGGTGCGCTCCTGCTAGGAAAAGTCTAATAATTATGCCGTTACCGATATTGCGCTTAAGGCAAGTACAAGAATACGGAAGCATCAACCGATACCCGTATGGAGACTTATGATGCGAGGCGTGGCCTTCGACATCTCTGGGCAGGACCTCGCAGGCCAGAAAGAAACAATCAGAAAGAGAGAAACAGAGAGACCAGAAACAAGGACGAAGAGAGACAGTCAGACAGCCAAAAAAGAGATAGTTCAAGATAGATAGACAGACGGACATACAGGCAGACAGAGATACAAATGGACCTCAACACACATTTACGGATGAACAAGATGTCCATCTACCTCTTTAACCGCAGTCCTGCAGGCGCGACGCCAAGCCCACAGCACGCAGGCTGCTGCCGTCGGGGCAGTCTATCCAGGCTAACGCCTTGGTGTTCGCAGTCTACTTTGGCATCTCCTGCTCATCAAACCTGCATTTGCATATGTTTACAGGAGGTCATGCGAGAGTCTCTCTCCTTGTCAGTCTCTCGCTTCCGTTGCATCCAAAGGGTCTATCGTCTCCTGTTTCTCACCATGCCTTTTTGCTGGCTTTTTTAGCACTCGCGCTTTTTGCTGGCTTTACTTCTGCGATCGTGCCATGGTTTTCGTTTCTATTCGTTAGCCGCCAGGATTCTACACAGCTCCATTGTTCGAGGCTGTGCTGTGTGGCATTGTTGTGTGTGGTACCTTAAGCTGAATTAATTCCGAGGGCATAGATCTCGGCTAAACTCTGATATCGTCCGACATGCAACTCACGGTGGAATAGCATGACAGTTCAGGGCTTATTAAGCTGCAGGGCTGCTCCCAGACGACTAGAACCCCAGCCCAGGTTTCAGCCGAGGCACAAACAACAAGGCCCACAACTCAAAGGGCAAAAGATCAGCTTAAAGACCACTTCATCTTCACAAACCAGTATACACCAAAGACCGCTAGGAGTCAATGATGCGTTGCTCAACAAAGCACGAAGAAACCCAGGCCACAAAACAGCCTTTGACACGTGGCACGACTCACGCAGGCCCTCGGAGTCGGAATCCATTAGATGACGTTTAAAGCCGAACCCAAGATGAAAACCTCAGTCCGAGTGGCACTGTAATCCTCCGAGCGCCAGACGCCCTCCGCATGCAGCTGCTCCAGTATCGGGCATTCTCCCTGGGGCCTGTCGATGCGATGGACGTCTTTTGGAGTCCGCTGCTTGTGCACAACCGCCAGCATTGCATCCACCACATTGGTGGCATACCTTTTGCAGTGCGCGGGTCAGTTTTATTTTCCGCTACGTACTTTAACCCAATCAACCTTAACGTCTGTTCTTAGGTAAGGGGTGAAGAATGTCAAAGCCTCAAGGCTCATCCTACATAAACCGAAGAGATCGTCGCAGTGTTGCCCTTAACGTGAAACCTTTGTCCGGCCGTCCTGGCAGACTTAGTCACTCTGTGATAAAGTTTGTCTCAACAGCTCGGGAACGATTGGGTTAAGGAGCTGCGGCTGCGCCCTGTCCAAGGAATGACAATGAACAAAGCGACAATCTATAAACCCCTTTGCAGCACGGCCCGAGTTGCCGGGCAGCGCCTACTCTAAAACCTAAGCCCCACACCCTAAACCCCATAGCCTAAACCTAAGCCATATAACCTGAACCCTATACCCTAGACCGTAAAAACCCTAAAACCAAAGAACGAGGCACGAGCCCATCTCTGCCTTCGTCCAGAGCCGCAGGCACACCAGACGCGAAGGTTGTAGAAAGTAAACGAGGGGCTCCTTGAGACGCAAGGTGTCTTGATTACATTTATTATATCACACTATATCAGATTTTTATACTGTGTCGTATATGTTATGAATATACAAGTATATATATATATACATTACTCTATATATATATATATATTTCTGTTTATGTATTCATTTATAATACTATATAACATACGTGGACACCGCCTTCTTGCTGGACTATTGCCTACTGTTCTTCTGATGTTGCTGTCTGGACTGGGTTGGTTGGTAGAGACTCCAAAATTAATCTAACAACATGCGGCTAAACCGTCTACTCAATCAGCGCAAGACTTCACACCAACACCTGCGAAATCAATACAGGAATGTTTCTCGCGAAACTTCCTTTGCATAGTGGGGTGACGTACATAAAGGTTTGGAGGAAAGTGGTGATGTGAAGACAGACAGGGAGCTTTGCAAACGGATGGGCTGGCTACCCAAAGACAAACCCGCGGACCTCGTAAACCACCCGTCGGTAGCAGGGATGCCAAGCTTCCAGTACAAAAGCCTATCAACCACCTCAAATTCCCCAAAGTCACCGGCATTCGGCACATCTGTCGGCATCGCGGATCGGCCGCTAGTGTCATCGAAACCTCAGGCCCAAACCGAGCGTGCACACTCACGCACACAAAGCAAAACAACAATCACAAAAACAAACGCGCACACACACACAGCTGAATTAGACTCGGGGCGGGTGCCTTGTGGTTGTGCTGTGGCACTCTAGGGCCCTCCTCATCCGTGCGAGAGCTGCTTGCTCCTGCGCCGGTCTTCCAAATTTGCAAAGGCTCCGGGATGCTCCGCCCGTTCCGAGAAGTGAGCGCCCCAGCTAAGAACTTCAGACGGGGACCCAACAGCCTGTCAAAGAAGTGCCGAGGAATATCGCATGCAACCCGAACTCTGCACGACACGTTCCACAGCTTAGAGCCGCGCTAATCCCGCAAGACTTCCACCCAATTCATTGGGTTGAGACAGAGAAACCCCACAACTTAAAATGTCAGGGTTCGAGCTCCTGCATTCGGTTCGGCTACAGTGCGGTGCGAAATCCAAGAACAAGTTCATATCTGCTCATTCCCCCACCTAAGAGAGCGCGTTTGCACCTTAGTGTAGTGAGCACTTGATTTATCCTGGTTAAGCTAGACATCATTGAGAAACCCAACTGAAGCCCACGACGAACCACAAGTGACATCTAACATCATCTAACGGGCTGGCCGTCGAGTCCACACTCAACCCTGAACCTCACAGCTTTATGCAAACTTCAAAGCCAAAAGCGAATGACTGATTACAGGTCAGACGTCCCCTGCCACCCCAGATTCATCCCCGAACTCTGAAGAGCCATGGCCAAGCAGACCTTGAGGGGCGTATGGCTGCGCTAGCGGCGGATCAGGGACCTCTTTCGCGGGCATGGTATAAGAAGAAGGTTCAGGGTTTAGGGTTTAAGGTTTAGGGTTTAGGGGTTTTGGGCTGAAGGCGCGGGGGTTGGGCCGGGTTTTGGGTTTCAGGCTGCCTGGCGTTTGGGTTTGAAGTTGAACCCCTTAGGGTAAGCCCCAAGCCGAGGACCACAATCGCTACAGCACACCGGCACGTGGGTTTCAAGGAACCGCTGCGGGCCTGCATGGCGAAATTTCCACACGGATGGCAGGGCTCCGGGCTGTAAACAAGTAACAACTATGACGCTGGCCCCCCTTGCGGTCAACAGACGCCCCTTTGTTTGAAGCCTTAGGACGAGAGTCGCTGTAGCACAGAAACTGAGAGGGGCTTGAAGGAGCGCTTGAAGACCACAACCTTTACCGTAACTACAACTCAAGGTACACACCCTGAGCCTAGACCCCAAAGCTCAAAGGACCCAAGCCCTTGTGAACCTTTGTTGAAACCGGACTTGATGACTGCCAGCATTGCCTCTTCTGCCGTTCTTCAGCCGAGACCCGAAAGTGTCAACACACGAGCACTCCACTCCCTAGGATGAGCACTCCACGTAACCACAACCCTGAATGCCTACAACCTAAAAACAACCCATTCTGAGCCGAGCACTGCACAGGGAGGTTCCACAGCAGTGCCCGGCGGCTGGTCCGGCATTGGCGACGCAGCGTCCAGAGTGCGGCGTTGCGGCACTGCGCGTGAAGTGATCTGTACCTGGCTCAAAGCAAACCCCCGATGCTCACAATCATCCTGCGGTCAGGCCCTGAACGCTCGGAATCTGAGTTCCCAAGCCAGTTCTTTGCAGCACAAACCTGCAGCACTGCCCATGACGGCTGGAGGTGTCATGCCATTACGGCAAACACCGCGACAGACAAAATCCCAGCCGACGTGCACCGAGAAACTCACACGAACCAGCCAACAGGATTGCGGACATGGTACAACGACGCAACAAGGTGCAGCACTGGCAGAGACAATGAAGCAAGGGATAAGTTGAGACGAGGACACTGACAAGGCAAGAAAGTGTTCAGGTGGTTGGGAAACCCAGGCTTCCCTTGTAGCAGGCACAAGATGCCTTTGCGATACCGGCTTCAAGAAATGCGGTCAGAAGACGACGTGCCCACAACGCCCCTCAACACCTACGACTCTTTGCCCGTACTTGGCCTCCAGCGCCAGGAGGCTGTCCTGCATCCGTTGAGGTTGGTCCGGGCTTATGGCTTGGACTTGAGGTCAACGCTTAGCTTTAGGCTTTGCAGCTCAGGCTTGAGGGCTTCGGGGAGGCATGTCATGCTCTGCTGCCGGAACTTGACCTCGATCGGGGTGAGTAGTTCTTGCTCGCAGCTTCCGGGGCGAACGCCGACATCCCCAAACCCTCCAGCATCTCCTGCTCCGGGTAAGCCACGATGCCGCCTGTGCCGAGAGCGACTTTGATGAGAGCCCCCCCTTCGAGGGGGCCGCCCTCGACGATCTCCAGCACTTTCACCACTTCCCTCGGTGGTGCAAACTGGTGACTTGCATACCGGCATGCCGTCATGCGGCAAACCACCCCGAAGTTCCACCCTGAAACCTGGGAACCGCATCAATCGCAGCCAAGCATCCCACGGGGGAAGCCGTAAACGGCGAACTCGTCGGTAAGCAGCTCGGCAAGCCCACCAACCTCTCAACTTGATGTCACGCGATCCTTTGACCGACATTTGCACAATACAAGTTACTGTTGCTGTTGCGGCTGTTGAGTGGGGCGACGGCCTTGAAAGCTCCGTTCACAGCGGAGCCAGAACTCGACGCCATGGCTCGCACTTTCTGGAGCTGAAAGATTAATCTTGTAATGTGACACTGCCTGCTGCATGGATTGCGACTTCCCAGCGGCACCACATGCTGCCTCAGCATCTACATTGTGCGTTTGGCAAGACTGACCTGTCTCACTGCCACCTAGGTTTGTCTGAGATCCCTTCGTTTACCCAGGTGAAGCATCAAAGACTATGGGAGTATGGCCTTGAGAGTCAGAGCTTCTGTGAGAACTTCCATGACGCTTAGCTGCTTAGCTCTGTGGACTTCATGGGCCAAGCCATCTTCGACCTTCTCTCTTCTTAAGGCCTCCTTACCTCGAGCCGAAGCGAGCCAAAGAGGCAAGAGGCTGGGACGTAGCGGAGTACGGACATGTAGCCGGAACACCCTAAACTGAAACTCTTTTAGTCCCGGAACGCTTGGGCTCCACCGTGAGAGAGAACCAAAAAGATGCTGCTTCCCAGTAACCTTGTGAAGCACAACATGTCTGAGGGAACCAACGTTCAACCCCAAGATCCTCTGCTGAAGGCTCCGGGAATTCCCATGGCTCTCGTCTTGGATTCAATCACCCCAAGACTGTCAGGCAACAGCACTGAAACCAAAAGCCTCTCAGAGATGCGACGACTAGCAAGGCCAGCCATCGCGACAACGTAAGGTTTATGGGTGGGGTGTAGCCCGCCAACCCAGCCAGAAAACCCCTTTTCCCGAAAACCCTGAAGCCCCAGAACCCAAAAAACCCTAAAGCAAACCGGAACCGAGCCTTTCCCTGCCCCGTCCTCCTGCCCCTTCCACCCTTCAACCCTTAAAAAAAACCTCCCTTGGCCTCGACCCGTAAGTTGTAAAGAGCTCCTCACCAGCTCTGTGGGCCTCGGAAAAATCACTCTGATACTCTGGGACTCTGGGGTTTAGGGTGTAGGGTATGGTTCTGACACTCGGCGCTTCAAGGCTTAAGGGTAAAGCTTGCGGTTGCATTCCACAGACCTTCCTGCAGCCCGCCCCCGGCTGAAGAAAAAAGCGCTGCACTACCAGCACGCATCATGAGATGCCGCGAGGACAGCAGTGAGTGGACCCTGAAATACGACGAAGCGCGACAAACCCCGAACCCCGAACCCTGCATACGACCAATCAACAAGGGATCCAAAAGTTATCCCCTGGCGTGCAATGCAGCCCGGCCGCCCTGACAGCTGTGATGACCATGCATTGGGCCTCAGGTTTAGGGTAGAAACGGAAGGCCGGCAGGTCGCACCCGCAACTGGCAAGCCCCGACACCAACAACAACACCAACACGGGTGTAAAGAACAGTTGAAAAAAACTGGCGGGGCAGGGACTGCAACAACACCAACCCGCAGTGACAGGCACAATCTTAAAGATTTGGGAATCACTTGAACCTGACTTTCGGTTTCTGTCATGAGAGATCTGTTGTTTCGGGCATCGCCGACCTGGAGCTTCGTAGGAGAGACGGGCAGAGAAGATTGCAGCGCCGGCAGTCTTCCTACGCCCAATCGGTCTAGGAATGGGCTTGCTGTCTTGATATTTGCCAGCTTAAAGGGATCTCAGGACTCATCTATCCCTAGACAAGAAAGTAAAGCAATGCCGCAAGATGCCAAAAGCTGGAGCTTGCTGCGGTTTAACATGCCAAGGGAGGTCACGACAGCCTGCATTCAGACATCTGGCTAAACAACATGAGACAAAATCGGATGTGATGACACGCTTTGGGAGCAAGACTGGTGTCCCGAGGCTTCTTAGGCCACAGTCCGAGGATGTCTGTAGCACTCATAAACTCGTGAAAGGCAAATGGCCAGAATCCGAAGGGGCCTACCTCTACCAGTGGCTTCCTCAAGGGTTTAGCTTTCTTAAGAAGCGAACCCCCCTAAAATCCCTAAACCCCATGAAGCTACAACCGGGCGCCGAGCCTCTCCGTCCCATGCCCACAGCACGCCGGGCGTTAAGGTGGGAGAGTGATTCAACCTCGTCGGGTCTGGTTAAAGGGGCCTTGGACGTTTTCTTGCTCAAGGCTCTAGGGTAGTTTGGGAGAACCGGGTTTTCGAGTTTGGGATGTGCCGAGGTGCTCGCGCGGTGAGATGGTGCGGATTGCATGAGCTTCATGTTGCAGTTGAGCCATCGGTTTGGTGAGAAGGGCTCTACAACAGCTTTACAGGCTTCATGGCCTCGAACTTGGAGGAACTGACATGAGCGATTCTTGCAAGCAAAAACCCAAGCTTTGGAGTGTTTGCGTAGAACCTGGCCAGAGGCACAAACGGATACAAACGGTAGGTTGAGCTCCACCGGACCGATTGCTGCTGTCAAAAGCGTGAGATCCAAGTGGTTCGAGAATGGTTAGGACACCACCCTGAACTCTTGAAATCATGCTACAGGTAGAGAATTGGGACTTTCGGGGGTCATTGCAAAACTGCCAGTCTTGCCCTGGGCCCCGGGCAAGTCCGCCACCGGCACCAGGGTCGTGTCGACGCCTGAAAGCCATTCCTTTACGACTAGGACGGCCGGTTCTGTCAGAAGCTGACGGCTGCTAGTCCAAGCCCCAGGCAAGTTTGGAAAACCCGCGTCTGCCTCGGATACAGAGATATGGGTAGTTCTCTAAATTAGGGTCCCTTTCAAGGTCCCTTTTAGGGTCCATTTTATAAGGGTGCCGTAATATATTGGGGACCTAAAAAGGGACCATAATTTAGAGAACTACCCTTTTGGTGTCCGGGAGGGCCGAAGGCCGAAGGAACAGGGCCTTGCCACCTCGGGAGGAACCTTCGCCTCTCTTTTACACAAAGCAGCTCGTTGCTAAGGCTGGAGCGAACACAGACGGGCGCGAAGGAACATTTCTGCCTCGACACAAACCCACGAACTCAGACATCTTGCAGAACCCGTTCTGAAGTTGCCAGCCCTGCACAAAGCTCCTGGGTCATGAGGGGACATGCCTCTTCTGGATTACAAGCTCCCTGACACTCCCCACGATTCGAGGATAGTTCTACCACCGACAGGAACTGATCCGCACCTCGACTGAATCGGGCACACCAGCTTCTTGGCCGCACCTGCTTTAGCGTAATACAGTGCCAAGTAGCATCATGCATAAACATACAACGCGATACAGTGCATTGGGGTGAGATTTGCACAAAAAGTCACACCACAGAGCCACACTAATCCCCGCAGACCCCAGCGCAAGTTTTTGAAATGGACAACAAATTGCGATGCATGCCTTGGCCTGCTCTCCCTCCCCAGTCACATCCCCACAGCGCTATTTACCTCCCCTTTCTCCCCTCGGCCCCCTTGAAGACCTTGGTTTCGGTCCAACGAAGCATTGGAGATCGCAAGCGCCTCACAGCTGCCTCAATCCAAGCCAGCAGGACCGCACCATGCTCTCGTGCAACATCATGAGGTCCGTGGCCTTTAGGCAAGTCGTGTGAACACTCTTGAAGGGCTGTGCTCGTTGTAAAGGCGCCTACCGGGATTGCGCATCATGAGTCTGACCAGTCTAACTCCAAGACCCTAGTGTGTTTCTGTTCCGATGTCTTCCCAAACCATCAGTATGCATGTGAAGCGATTGACGGTCGCCATCAATGATGGCTCAAGCGGACTAAAGTCGAGCAGAGCAGAAATGTCGTTTGCACTGCATTAAACCACTGTGGTACTCCGCCACAGTGGTAGCGGAGCTCGGAGAATCCAGGGGCCAACCGAGAGTCAGCGAGACTCAACTGTGTTGGTGATTCGGAAGCCCGCGACTGCGGAACATGACAGAGCCCGACGCTGCTAGCAGACCAGTACCAGATGAAGACGAAGGCTTAGCAGAGAACGCGGACCCTTGGAGGGATTACCAGGCCCCGGGCGGGGAAGCCCAGGCCGATCCACCTCCGGGGTTTTCTCCAGCACGGCGACAGCGCAGGGATGCTGACTTCGCCGACTTTCAAGAGTTCCTTCAGAGACGACGCGATCAACGCCAGCCCGGGCGCCGCGGGCGCGATGCTGACGAGGATGATGATGATGGTGGTGAACCTGGCGGCCGAAGCAACGCGGGCCCGCCACCAACCTGGGACGGCACCAGCGAGGCCTTCCGGGACTATGAGATAAGAGCTAAGCTGTGGCTGGCGACTACAAAGGTGAAACCCCAGGCCCGAGGGCCTCTTCTTTTGAAGAACTTGAGCTCAACCCCCTTCGACGATCTGAAGCACCTGGCAAGGGACAGCAACTGGATGCAGAGTGCTACCAACGGGGAGGAGCTCCTGAGACAGATGTCGACTAAGGAGCTCTACGGTGAAGATGAGAGAGAAGAGATGATCAACACCTTGGCCAAGGTGACCTACACATTGCGTCGACAACGCAATGAAGGTCACAAGGCGTTCTTTGCCCGATGGGAGCTGCAGATCAGGAAGCTCAACGAGCACAAGGTTGTCCTCCCGGCCGAGTACTTGGGCTTCTTGCTGATCAATGCTCTTCAGCTGAGCCAAGGCGACATCAAGTTGCTCATGAATTATAACCAAGGCAAACTGACGCCGAAGGTGGTGAAGGAGTGGACCAGAGTCAACGAGGCCGACTTGGCCTGGAGAAGCTACGAGACGACCAACGCCAAGAAGGCCAATGCAGTGATGCACCTCGACGAGGAAGGCGACCAGACGGAAGAGGTCAACGGTGCGGATACGGCCGAGGACCTGGAGATCCTTCTGAACGCCATGGACGAGCTCGAGGAGCCCGACGGCGGCCAGACCGAGTCCAACGAGGTGTTCGACGAGGATGAGGTCAAGGAAGTCCTGGCGACCATGGTGCGCGACTACGGCAAGGGCGGTGGCAAGCGCAGCTTTAAGGCGGTCAACGACGCCAAGAAGGCCAAGGGATTGGCCCGGGGCTACGGGATCAACCGCGACCCTCAGGGAAGATTTGGACCACGTCAAGGTGGAGATCCTGTCCGGACCGGCAACGCCTACAAGGTGTCGATAGAGCTGCTGAAGAAGAGGACGAGATGCAAGCGGTGCAACCGGTTAGGACACTGGCATCGCGAGTGTCCCGAACGAGACAACACCGGAGCTGCCAAGGAGACGCACTACCTCGAGGAGGACGAATCCGAGGAGGCATTGTTCCTGCACTACATGGACTATATCGATGGCAAGCGTAGCGGTTCGTCGTCCAGCACCGGAGCGGTTGCAGACAACTACTTGTCTCGCAGCAGCCAGTCCTCCGGAGAGTTTTGCGGCCCCCGAGGCCATGGACAGCAAGGACCTGAGCCGCATCGGGGAGCATACATGTGTGCTGCATTAGGGTTGCCACATGAGGTTATGTCTCTAGAACGTGAGCCCCTTACAGACGAATCCCTCTGCGCTACCATCGATACAGGGTGTCAGAGGACAGCGATCGGGAGAGATACTTTAAATCGTCTCTTGGCCAAACAACCGTCCGGAACACGATCGCATCTAAAGAATGAAGTGCACATGTTCAAGTCTGTCAACGGAACATCTCGAACCTCACAGGTGGCTTGCGTATCTTCCAGTTTGGGACCCCAAGGTTGTATTCTTCGGCCGGCAGTTTTCGATGAAGGCACAAGTGCAAAGGCCCCGTTCCTGATATCCCTGCCCTTCCTCATCTATTGCAAGGCAACATTGGTTCTAGATCCAGAGCAAGGGATGAGACTCAAGCTTGGCAGGTTCAATCATGAGGTACCTTTACATATTGGACCTACCGGGGCCCTTAGAGTACCTCTTGGGAACTTCACGAAGCGCATGCAGAGAGAGCTGAACACGGCTATTGACAAACTAGCAGCCGACGAGCGCAGTCACGAAACTCATGCCGTGGAGCAAGTCGAAGAAGGTGATCAGTTTTGCATGCCGCCTGAAGCTAACCGGCTCGAGTGCATCGCATATCCAGGCAGTTCCCTTCCTCTTCCCGGTGCTGATCGCCATGATGAGGGGATCCCCGAGCAAGAGAACTCGGCGCGAGCCGGAGTACAACCCCAGCGAGCTCGGCTGGCGGAGGATGGTTCTGCGCCTTATGGTCCTAATGGCCGAAGCGGTGCAGCGGATGATGATGCAGTGCATGGGGATCACGCAACCCCAGGAGCAGCTTCGCACCCGACTGGTCGAGACCATCCGGGACATGGACGAGACGGAGATCAAGACAGCGAAGGACATCCTGGAGAACGCCGGCAGAGCACGGCAACACGACCCCGACCAGGAGGAGTGGAGCGTGATCGAGCCCATGGAAGGGATCGAGGAGCAAGAACCTCGGAAGCGCCGAGTTCCAGAGACGGAAGAGGAGTTCGCGAACTACCCTGCAGTGGGGCCGGGAACGAACCGGCGCACCAAGTGCTACTGTGGAAAGCCGGTCGAGACTATCCGGACCAAGAAGATCGGGCCGAACCTACACCGCCTCTTTCTTCGTTGTCCGATGTGGCGGGACCCTCATGTCCGATGCCCCTTTTTCCAATGGCTGGCCGACGAGGACCAGGACATGTGGAGGTCTTCGACACCAAGCTTTCTACGGAGCCCGACGCCAGAACTCCGGAGCCCAACAACTCCGGCGAAGGACCGCCACTCCGAGGACCGGGCACTGGGAAGAAAGCACCCCCATGCGCCAATACCGGACCGAACACCGTCGCCCAGCGAGTCCGTGGCATCCTCAAGGAGCAGAATGTCATCGACAACGTCAGCCTCAATGGAGTGCCCCCACCGGCACGTGACGTACCAAGGCTCCAACGGCTGGCAGAAGATCAGCAAGTGCAAGGACTGCGGCAAGGTGCTCAAGCGGGAGTCCACGACGGCAGCGGAAGTTGCCTACAGGGGACTGGAGACGGTACGGGAGCAGATGACAAGTCAACCGAGCACGGCGACCTCCTCAAAACGCAATGGTCCACCACCGCCGACTCCGGTGAATCAGCCACCGCCGGCGATGACCAGCCCGACAAGTGCGGCTACTTCCGGAAGATCCAGACGACCGGCGGTGCCAGAGGCGAGCGAGGAAGAGGAGTACGAGGAGTTCCTACGCTTCCGGGCTATGCGGAACAGCTACCGGAAGAGCAATCCCTAGGACAGCAGCTCACCGTCAGCGCCGGGCGGAAGATGTCTTCCAATTTGAGAAGGACGGAGCAGATGTGGACCGATCTGTGCACGTGCCTGACTACAACCCACAATGACAATCAGCTCGAGAACTTAAAAGAACGGTTCTTGCGCGAGCACAAGAGTGGCATGAGTAAAACCCACAAGCAGTTCTACAGCGAACTCTTTCAACTAGATGTGAACGAGATTGATCAGCTCGCCAAGCCCAAGCCCTTACATGAGAAGTCAGGACCGAGTGCGGGGAGTTATCTGCGTGTATGTCTAGATGAGCACCTCCAGTTGAACAGCAGTCTGAAGTCGCTTGAGAGTGTCTTGCAGCATAATCGACCAGGTTTTGTGCACCTCTATATCGCCGATGCTACAGTTCTTCAAGAGGCTAAGCATAGCTCAGGCCAACGGAACACAAGCATTGGGACCCTCTTCCATCGAATGATCAGTAGACGATCCCAACGTTCTTTTGAAAGTGTGACCAACCTGATCGTACAGTGGTGCCATAGAAACAGAGCAGTGTGTCTACTAGAGTTTCCTATGAGGGTTCCCACATGGTGGCAGAAATTCGTGACTAGCCTGGCCGTCTCCTACCAACTTTACCAGAACAACATCTCCGTGACTGACAAGCCGTACCAGATAGCTGGCAGCGATGCTGAGGTAAACCGGCTGGTCGTCAAGGGAGCGAAGGCGGAGCGAGCCTACGGCCAAGTCAAAGGCAAGGATGCCAGACAGCTTCGGGTGCAGAACTTCTCTGACACTCTGCAAGATGACAGCTTTCATGACCTACACTACTTCACCGAGAGTGAACTGCACCAGATCCAGGATTACCAGAAGAATCCAAAGCACAACGAGGGGAAGTTCAAGATCGACGTAGATTACCAGCTCCAGGATTATCAGAAGAATCCGAAGCACAACGAGGGGAAGTTCCAGATCAGCGTAGAGCACCAGCTCCAGGATTACCAGAAGAATCCGAAGCACAACGAGGGGAAGTCCTATGAAGTCATGGCAGGTGAGATCGAAGTGGATCAAGCACCAATGGTAGTCGGCCCCAAGGGACAAGGAGTCAGTGAAGAGATGCTACAGCAGAGGGGCGCACCAATTAGACAATGAAAACATGGTCGCTGTTGTCGTACAGGACCCCGAAAAGATCCCGAAGCCAGACAACTACGAGCTGTGCCGTGGCTTCCCTTGGCGTACTACCTGGAGGCAGCGTGAAGATGAGACCTGGCAGCTACTAGAGGACGAGATCAGGTGGGAAGAGCTACATCAAACAGAACGTCATCTACAACATGGGGGCAAAATCGTCGTGATCTTCCAGAAAAGAATTGATGGTCGGCCAAGTCGGCATATGCAGAACTTCAACGGATGGTTCAGAGAGCGCACGAAGGCTTGGGACACCCCGAAGTTAATCGGTTCGTCCGGATGCTCCGGCATTCCAAGGCCAGCGAGGAGGTAATCGAGATTGCCAAGAAGCTCAGGTGTTCTGTGTGCGAAGCCTACAAACTACCTGCAGCTGCCCGACAAGGCGCTCCACCCCGGGAAGAACTCTTCATCAATGACCTCGTGGGAGTCGATACCGTGCACCTCAGGGACCACCAGAAGCGAGCGGTGCCGGCACTGAACATCGTCGACTGGCACTCCCACTTCCAGCTCGTCATACCAATGGAAGCCGAGAACGCACCGGCAGCGAGGAAGGCCTACCGACAGTGGGTCAGGTTCTTTGGACCACCAAAGAAGGTAATGTTGGATTTGGGGTCGGAGTTCAAGGCTGAGTTCAAGAGGCAGATCGAAGCCGATGGCTCCGAGACCGTTCCAGGGGCACTAGAAGCACCGACTCAAAGAGGACTTACAGAGCGAGCAGGGGGGGTTTTCAAGGACATCCTCTACAAGGCCATGATGACGCACAAGTGCAGTAGCACGGAAGAATGGAAGGAGCTTGTGGATGTGGCCTGCATGACCCGAAACAGACTGCTACTTCGGGCAGGGTACTCCCCGATTCAAAGAGTGATCGGGTATACCCCTCGACTACCTGGCGGCCTACTTACAGGGACCGAGATGGACCAAGGCACCGCAAGCCTTCGCAGGCCGGGGATCTCGGGGTGGCCCGGGCCACTCAGATGAGAAAGGCAGCCGCCATTGCGTTCCACGAGGCAGACTGCGACCAGGCGCTCAGAGCGGCAGCGCTGGCAGGGCCACGAAAACACCACAACTTCGAAGTCGGCCAAGCCGCCTTCTTTTGGAGGCGAGGTGCCGGAACGACGAAGAAGGACCGGGAATCCTACTGGGCCGGTCCAGGGAGAATCATCATGACCTCGCTCCCGAATGCCGTCTGGATCTCGCACCAAGGGACGCTGATCAAGGCAGCCCCCGAACGAGTTCGACTAGCCACCGAGGAAGAGTCCCTCTCACTCAGTGGATGGATGAGAGGTATCTCTCAAGCCAGCGCGGCCTTCGAGAGAAATCCCGGACGAAACTTCCTGGACCTCACCAAGAACTCCGACGTGATCCCCGAGGACGGAGCAGAACACATGGAACCAGATGACGAGAACAAGGAGGACCTTCTGGAACCACCTCCGGGACTAGCACCGGTTCGTAGAGTAAGGCAGAAGACAAGGAACTACGACACTCCTGTTCCAGAAGGAAGTCTTCAGCCGGACGACAATGAACCCGGCCAGGCGTCCGGAGAGGCCGCCGCCGACGCAGTGCAAGAGACGGACAACATGGATGAAGAGATCAACGAGGAGGCCAGGGGAGAGCTAAAGAGAGAGGCTGAGCCCGGCGAACCGGAACCACCCGGCAAAAGGAGCCGGATCGAGCTCCTCGAGGTTTACCATATGAACCTGAAGAGCCTGGCGAAGCAGCGGCAAAAGAAGGAGGCGAAGTTGCACGACTTTGTTGGCAAAGACGCAGCGAGATTGCACAAGGCCATCCTCAAGGAGATCAACAACAACTTGACAACCGGCGCCTACGAGATCCTCGACCTCGAGAACTCAGAACGCCTACGGCAACAAAGGCCGGAGAAGATTATGGAGTCGCGCTATGTCCTGACAAAGAAACCATTGGAGCCAAGCGAGGTTCCGAAGGCCGAAGCAGAAGGGATTCTGCTTGATGATAAGGCTCATGGCCCCGTCAAGGCCAAGTGCAGACACGTCATGAAGGGGTTCTCTGAAGAGGCTGCCCTGGAGGTCGAAAGCACGACACCATAGGTGAACCGGGACTCCGTGATCTTTGTCACCCAGGTTCTAGCCAGCATGGGCTGGGATCCAGGTTTTCTGGACTTCACGCAGGCCTTTCACTCCGGAGACAAAATCAACCGGGAGCTGTACTGCACCCAGCCGAAGGAGGGCATCCCAGGCATCCATCCGAGGCAGCTGATCAAGCTGCTTAAGACGTGCTACGGCCTGACTGATGGACCCTTTGCCTGGTATCAACACCTCTCCAAGCGATTGCTGAAGGACGGTTACACTGTGAGCCGTGCAGACCCTTGCGTGTTCCTTCTACATGAGAAAGGAGCACAAGGTGAGAACTTGCGACTAAAGGGGGTCATTGGCGTTGCTACAGATGACCTCCTACATGGAGGTGACAAGGACCACTGGGAGAACATCGAGAAGATCGCCCGGGACTACAAGCTCGGAAAGAACCAGACGAACGAGGGAAGATTCACCGGCAAGGACTTCAAGAAACAAGCAGACGGTTCTATTACAATCTCTCAAGAGTTCTATGTCAACGAGAAGGTTGAACAGATCTTGCTTACACGAAAGAGGAAGCAACAGAGATACTCGAAGTGCACGGCACCGGAGATAGAGCAGCTCCGAAACCGGCTAGGAGTCCTCTCCTGGCTGGCAAAGGAGACACGTTGCGACCTTTCCGGAAGAGTCGCCCTACTTCAGCAGAGCTTTCCCGAACCGAGGGTCTTGGACATCATCGAGTGCAACAAGATCAGCGAGGAGGCGGCAAAGCACAAGGACATCGCGATCAAGGTCATGCCAATTCCCTGGCGAGATCTCCGAGTCTCGGTGGTAAGTGACGCCGCGTGGGGCAATGCCAAGGACGCTCTATGGATCGAGAACTCTACGGAGGACTTCTGGGAGGAGACCGACACCAAGTGGATCCGACATCACCAAGGTGAACGCCGGACGACCTTTCACCCAGGAGCAGCCCCGGACGGACCAGATCTACACGCGCTACTACCACAACGCGAGACAGAGTACTACATGCAAGAGGGCGACCAAGTGGTACATGAGATCTGTCAAGATGAGTGGTGCGACCAAAAGGGGATCCGAGTCCTCTCCGAGACATGCTGGAGAGGACGAACGGTGTTCTTTAAGGCAGAAGCTGAACAAGGAACGCCAGCGGCTCGAATTCATTCGAGCCTCCTACAACTCCAACAGCTCAGCAGCCAAGGCGGCCAGATCATAATCTACCACCACCGCAAGCTGGCCGAAGAAAGCACTCCACAGATGACAACCCTGGCAGCTTGGAAAAGTTTCAGGCTGAAGAGGAAGACAGTGGACACCCTAGCTGCAGAAGGCCAAGCTTTACAGTCCGGCATAGGATGCGTACACTGGCACCGTCTGATGTTCCTGGAGGCCTTCTACGGCATGATGACTACGGACCACTGGAGAGAGGAGTCGCGAAGGCTGCCATTCTTGGCAGCGGTCGACTCAAAGAGCCTTTACGACGCCACCAACAAATGCAGCAGCACCACCGCCTATATCAGCGACAAGAGGACCGCCATCGACATCTCAGTGATCAAGGCGGATCTTTTGGAGACCAGCGGCAAGGTCAGGTGGATCGACACCCGAGCGATGTTAGCAGATCCACTAACGAAGCCTCACCCGAGTCAGTATCTCCGTTTCGTTATGAGGTCGGGCCAATGGTCGATCGTCGAAGAAGGGACAGCACTCCAGCACAAGGCACTGGAGAGAGAAGGAGGGAAACCACATGCCCTATACTTGATGTTTTGGGAATTTAGAGTGTGACCGGTGTGTTTCTGTTCCGATGTCTTCCCAAACCATCAGTATGCATGTGAAGCGATTGACGGTCGCCATCAATGATGGCTCAAGCGGACTAAAGTCGAGCAGAGCAGAAATGTCGTTTGCACTGCGTTAAACCACTGTGGTACTCCGCCACACTAGACTGCAGACATGCCCTGATCGTGTCTGTTCTTTCTTTGGTTGCCCAGCGACCCCGGCTTCCAGAAACGCAACCACCAAGTCCGAGGCCATCTCGATGAAATATTCTGCCTCCTGCGACGGCCGCATGGCCTCTCGCCTGAGCCCCCAGCAGATTCCTAGCGGTCCTAGCCCCAGACATGGAACTGCGAGCAAAGTACTTGCGCGTGGCCTTCCTGAGTGCGACACGTCCCACCAGGATTGAAGGCTGCAAGTCTGAATGGGTGATATGCGAAATCCTGGCACAACGGTCGAAAGGCGATCGAAGAGGCTGACCATGCTCACAGTTCACCACGTCACAACCGTCACGCCGCCACGTTCGTGCAACCCAGTCCTCGCCCAGAAGCGTGTCTGCATAAGCCTCCCAAACCTGCCGCGACTTCTGATGCGGACGGGGGTTTCACCATAGCTCAAACAACATGCTGGCCTTCTGCTGTGCCTCACTTGCGGCCCAGTGACTTCTCAGAATACTCTTTCCCTGGCGGCGATCTCGTAAGCCCTAACTCTATGGCTATTTCGAACCAACTCGCTCAAATCTCTGGGGACAGCAACCGAACTTTCACCACCGCACCCATTCTTTCTGCCTGCTGGGCTTTCTTCCAAAGCCCAGCTCATCGGAGCGCTCGGCAAATATGCTCCACGAGATTTCATGCTTCACCGTTCTCAGCTGTCGGAACCCGTGCCATCCTTGCCAGCATCATGACCGCCATCCATCGTCATTGTAAGCAACCTCTCACCGGCAGCAGTGGCAACACCGGCACCAGCACCACCGACCACCTCATCATCATCATCGCTATCATCAGCATAGCTGCCAGTCGCCGTTGCTGCGTGAACTTTGGGTAAATGTTGACTGTTCGGTTGGCGCGTCGGCATGGCTGTCTTCATGGCATGAGTTGCTGCACTGCTACACGGCCATCGAGAAGCGAAGAATCAAACAAAAAACACTGAACACCTCTGCCCAAACTGCTGCAAACATCGCTTCGCCCGATCCTCCGATGCTTTGTCCAAGGCCCTCTCCTGCCAGGTCGAAGTCAGCAGAATATCCTCGAACCTTCTGGGCTCCCATCCTGGGAGTCGGCCAAAAGCCGGGCAAGGAAGAAGGAGTGCAGCGCTTCAGAGCCTCAAAAGCTCGATGCAGGTTTGGGCCGCATGACAGCAGCCGGCCCAGCTTCTGAGGCGCAAACGTCGATGATCCGGCATTGCTGACCTCAAAGAAAGGCGAGGCTTGATACAAATAGTGATGGCACATCCGCATGCACATATAGCATCCGCTTGAGAGCACCGCTGTTTCGCAACCTCAGTCGAGCGTATGCCACGAAGCTAGTGACACTGAAACAGGCTCTGAAAGTGTTCTGAACGACAAGGAGCACAAACCCAAACGAGGGAGGTTCTTGGGCCCCGACAGCTGCAAGTGCCGGAGCAGCGGCTTCAACCGCAGGAGGCCTGCAATGACACGGATATCGCTGGAAAGACGGACGGCAGGACAGCTGCCGTCTGCTGCCATGCTGCCGTGCTCTCTACATCCTACATGATGTTGAGGAAGGCGGCTTGGATCAGAAGGCTACACCAAGGCTCGAACGTGAGATGCAGATGCGCTGGAATGCGCAATAGCTCCTCGTGCTTCAACAAGCAAGCGATCTTGCAAGGGCCGGGGGCCTTTGCCTCATTCGGACCTAGGATTCTGCATCGGGAACCCAACTACAACAAATGCCAACCCGGCTCCTCACCCTCCTGGATGTCTTCCACAGCAAGCAAGCCAGGGATGTACAGTGGCGGTGCCTCAACGTCGAGCAACCGTACAGCAGGGACTGCTAAACACAACGTCCTTGGAGGCTGACACATCCTCGCTTGATTTTGGGACTGACCTCATCATTGCATCACGCCAGCGGAAGAAACAAAGATTGCATCAAGGCAATCTTCGGCTGTGTTGTGACATCCCTGTCCCTGTGTCCTTCTGTTCCAAGCTCGCTGCGAAACAACCGGCTTCTTTGGCCACTTTGAAAAGATGTTCCACCGCAGCCTGCAATGATCTTCTGACTCACCAAACTCATTTTCCTGGATGGACGGAGAACCGAGAAAAGTCGAGAACATGCATTAGATTCCACCCACGCTGGAATCACGGAATCAGTTGGACCTCACACTGGGCGGGGCCTCCAAATCCAACGTGGCATCCCCTCGTGACACACATATGACTCAAAACCTCCGTGCTCCTCAAATTCGTAGGGTCCGCACGAGAGACCTTCCCCAAATCTGCCATGACTGCCAGATTTTTCCCTGCATCCTGCACGGCACCCGCTTCCACAACGATAACACAAAAACAACCGGAAAACCGTGGGAACGTCGTCTGCATCAACGACGCTTGAACACACGCGATTAAAGCTAACCCATCCTAAGCTGCGGTCAGCCAGGTGCAAGCTTGCACTGCGTTTGCAGGCGGGCTTGGCGCAAGGTGGCCTGCAAAGCAGCGGACCACCGAAGGCGCAAGCATAGCACCTACCACGTCGTGCGCGCGCAAACCCTTTGCGTCCTGGGCTGCGGGGCGGGCGAACGGTGGAAGGCGGATGCTGTGCTGCTGGTTAAAGCGCCCGGCCCGCCCTGTCACCGCCTCGACGATGACCCTCCGCTGCTAAGTGACACCCTCAGCCCTCGACATGGCCGCATGAAAGGGGCGTGGCGGGTCGCTTGAGTCAATGGGTCCACGCAAAACACATAATTTGTTGCAGCGGCCCCCTTGCGATTGCGGGCATGGCTAACACCCCTCTTGGGGCTGACATGGTTAACACCCACCTGGCTGCACTGGAGGGATGACAGCCAAACGGTGCGAAGAAAGTCTGTCAGCCAGTAAGCCAGCCAGTCAGCCAGTCAATCGGTCAGTCAATGGAACAAGGACGAATCCCGTTTCGTGCGGCGACCAAGCTCGCGAATGCGGAGGTGCCGCGGAAATCTGTTTATTCTGGGGAAGCAATGGGAAAGGGAGCCCATCCACCTCATTCAATCGACGGGGGAGGCGCTTAGGCGACAGGCCACACGGATGGCAACACTGTGCATATGTTTTCCACACAGTTTTTTTCGACAGTTACATGGTGGGGTCCCAATGCACCTGCAGGCTACGTCGCGCGTGTGTGGTCTAAGTTGTTTTTGTTGTCGGACTCTTCCGCCTGCATGAGGTCTTTCTACCCATGCTACTCTCGGCGAACCTAGCGCAGCGGCAACCGGCTTGGCCCCACCGCATCGGCGAAGTCAAGCACGCGGTCGAGCTCTGGGCCCGGCCGCTGGCTCGGGTGTAGCGGGACGGGCCACGGGCTGCCGGGGGCTTGGACTCGGACGCGCGCCAAGCTGCGATGCTTCGTTCCAGCGCCCCCCAACTTCGGAGCCGAGCATGCGGTACTGCTGTACACTGTGCTCGGGGTAGGCGGCTCATTTGCTCCGCTCGGCAACCCGCAACATGGCGGCGTCGTGTGCTGCGGTGCAGGGAAGCGGCTGGCCCGTTCGTGTCAGCGGCAACACAAGGGTTGCATCACAGCACTGCGCCCCGCTCATAGGGGTGGGGTACGAGTCTTGTTTTTTGATGTCGTTGTTTTTCTGCTGTCGGTGCAGGCGCACATCTTTTCTTTGCTGTCGTTGCGGGGGCGCGTTTTCTTTTGCTGTCGTCCCCGGGCACGTTTTTTTGTTTTTGCTGTCGTCCCCGGGGCGCGTTCTTTTTCTTTTGCTGTCGTTGCGGTCACCGGCGCTGCTTTTTGTTGCTGTCGTTGCGGTCCCCGGCGCGTTCTTTTTTGCTGTCGTTGCGGTACCCGGCGCGCTTTGTTTTCGCTGTCGTTGCACGGTGCTTCCCGGCACGCTTCTTTATTGCTGTCGTTGCCGGGGAGCGGGATGAGATTTTTCTCTGCCGTATTTTTTGTTCGGCCTCTTTTTTTGGTGGTGGTGGTGGGGCGGGGTCTCTATTTCCATAGCAAGAATTTCGCTGTATTTGATAGGAAAACCTTTCTCCGATATACGATTTTACAAAAGAAAAACCTTTATTTTCTGTACAGTGTATTAGGAAAACATCTAGTGGCTCTGAAGCAAACAAACCCTAATTTCCTAATTTCTTGATTTATACTTACTAGATTTCCAGAGGAAAACCCTGTAATTTCCGAAAATTTCATAGGCTATAGTCTACTTCAAGTTATGGCAGTTAATGTTTTCATGAGCGGGGGGTTGCAAGGCGCGCAGCCAACAGAATGATCGCATCATCGGTTTCTCATATACTTTGTGGCACGGACTAAAGCGGCGATGGGGTTGGAGCCCCCCGATTGTTTCAAGAAGAATTCATATGCTGTCAAGCAAGCTTGCACAAGCGGGAGGTTAGGGCGCAGCCCCCACATTTGCAAACAGAATGTTCGCATCAGGCGGGAGGGGGCCGCCCCCGCCCATTTGCAAACACAGCTCTCGCACCATGGGTTGCGAGAAGACTCATATGCTTCACAGGCTCCCCATGTGCGGGGACTCACACGTTGAATCAAGCTTGCAGGGCTCAAAGCGGGGGTGTTGGGGGGGCAACCCTTCCCAGCTGCAAATACATTGCTCGGATGGGTTTCAAAAGGACTTATATGCTTTGCACGCCCCCAATTTGCAAACAGAATGCTCGCATGATACAGCAGGTAAAACAACATTCACATGCTTTGAAGGAAGCTTGCACGGCTTAAAAAGGCTGGGGGAGGGGGGGGTGCGTAGCCCCCACATTTGCAAACAGAATGTTGGCAGCCGGGGGTTTAAATTAATTCAAACCCACGTTGGGGTCTAGATTCGTCGGGCGTGTAAACTTAGCCCCATTGGATCTATCAGGTAACGCCTGCCCAGGGACCGCGACGTCGTCGCGCTGCAAGTTTTCAGCGTCGCTTGTGTGTTTGGCCGGGCGGGAAGGGCTGGGCTCGGGGAGGAGGGTGCGCGAGAGCATGCATGACAGAAAATGCAAGCAAGCACAAGGCACTTCAGCGGCTCCATTTCCGGGCGCTTTTTGCGCGAGTCGATGCTGACACGCTAAGTAGTGCTGCGCACGATGCCTGCCGCGCCACGACGGCGGTGCTGTGGCACCAGCGCCTCTGGCTGCGGAGGCAGTGTGCACCAGCAAAACAAGGTCAAAAAAGATTCGAGGCCTTAGCAAGATCGACCGGCGTGCACGGTCCAATCCAACGACGTAGCGTGCCAGCGGCTCCGCTTTGTCTTCGCCCTTGCCGGTGCCCTTGCCTCCGTTACCCTTGCCGCCGTTGCCCTTAGCACCCGCAGCGCCAGCGCGTCTTCTGCCTCCTCCGCGGCTGCCTCGCCTGCACGGTGGCAGCAGCGCGTGGCGGTGAGGATTTCTTGGCCTCTCCTTGGCTGGCAAGTAGCTTGCGCGAGGCGGCATGGGCTGCTGCTGCCTCTGCTGCTGCCGCCACCTCCGCCATACACACCGCCGCCTGTAATGCCGGCCACACGCCCGCAAGTAGCTGATGACCAGGACGCGAGTATGCGCCAAACGCAAAGCCTCACAGCCGGGGTATGCTCGCATCTCCGCAGCGCTGGGGAGGCCGCAGTCTTCACATGTGGCCATGGCTGGAAGAAAATCGCTAGCAAACGGGCTGTGCAAGCAGGAAACGGCTGCGGGGCAGGCGCGCAACAACCAGCATTGCAGAACTCCAACCAGCACTTGATCACACAACACGAGTTAGTGCCTGCACGATGGTTTATGTTGCTGCGGAGTTTTAGTGTGTGAGACCAGGGAGGGGCAGCAAATGCCTCGACAAACCCTCTCGTGCACAGGAGGTCGTTTGCTGCAATGTGATGAGTGTGTGAGTTTCAGCCTCGCATGAGATTTTCATGTGAAGCCTTTTTCAAGCTCTCAAACAGGGTGGGGTAAGTCGTTAGACAGCTCACTGCCATGAGAGTTGCTGGCAGCACGCGTGCTGCCTTACGTCAAGTTCTGCTAAGCCGGGATTTGGCGGACCAAACCGATGTAGTGCTCGACAAAGCCGTGCGACTCGCCAGACAAGAAATGGGAAAGAGGCGACCCACCAATCTCGAAGAAGAGCGTTCAGCTTTCCCATCTGCGCTGAGCGGGCTTGGAGGCTTGACGCAACCATACGAGATTGATTGGGAGGTCGAAGATTTCAGCTCGCTGATGTGGGAACTGTGGTCATGTGCGACCCAAGGCACTCAGTCAGCGACTCGTCTTCCATGCTTGTCAGAGGATGAGGATGCCTGGCAAGAGTCATGTGCAGAGCTGCTTGAGGCATTGCGAGCAAGCCAGACGTGGCCGTTGGCCCAATGGCGTTTGAGAGCTATTGGAATATGTTGGTTGTTGGCAGTTTTGTGCATCGCTGCCATTCAACTCGGGACCTGGACCGGACGTCAACGGCTGGGTTGGGTTGTTTGCATTGGAATTTTTCCGCTGTTAGGCGAGCTGTTGCGCAGATACAACTTCGACTCTGCCGAGTTACAGTTCACCCAGCCGAGCAGGCGCGCTGAAGATGTCGCTGAAGATCCGATTCCAGGAGACATGATGCCACAGCATGGAGCCGGCAATGCTGGCACTGGTGGGACGGCCCCTACGGAGTTGATGCGGTCACTCAGTGCCTTGGCCCAGGTTCCTGTCCCTTCGGCTCGACTTCCTGCGACTTCCACGGTTCGCTGGCGCCCTGCCCTAGGTCAAGCAGTTATCGTGACTGACACGCCTCCGTACCAAGACTTCAAAGATGAATTGGGCGCAGTGGTTTCAGTGCATGATTCCGGCCTCGTAGATGTTGCGTTGTGCAGTGGTGCAATGCTGTACCAGGTGCCGGGTACATCTTTGAAGATTGCACAGCTACGCGGTGACGAACCCGACTGCGAACAGCTGGCGAGGCTCAGCTCCAAGGCTTTGGAATCTGCTGAGGGGAAGGGGGCTTCATTGTCAGAAGCTGGCACCAAGCACGCTACATATGCCCCGCTTTCCCTAGCTGCCATCGAAGCCACTCAGTCTCAAGCACGAGTTGTGAAGAACTTA